AAGGTCGACGGCGCCGGCGGCGTAATGCTGCGACATGTGGCATGTTCTCTTAGAACAATGTGATGGCTGTCTTCAATTTGCCGAGTGTCCCGGTAAGATGGCAGAAATTAAAGACGAGGAAACATTGTTTAGAAGGAATCACCCACAGTTGATAGCGCAGCATGGCGTTACGTGCCGACGATGTAATGCGATCGGCCAAGCTTGGGCGATTCGGCGGACTGCCCCTTGGCCACCTGGTGCATGCTGCGAGCGATAGAGGTTGGGAGCGCGCCTCGAAGAATTCAGTTGCATGTCGACGCCGGCGTCAGGTCGTCGGCCATGAAGGATCGGCTTCGACTTGAGTCCATGGAGAAGGGACCTTGACAACGAAGTACACCTTGTGCCCAGGTCCTTGGCGCGGTCACGACCCCGCACGCAACGGCGGCTCGTTGCTAAAGGCTCGGTCGTCGTGCGGTGCTGAATTCGTCCCTGCTGTTGCGAAGCAGCCTCAGCCCGCGCTCGCGACAAGTGGCTGTGACGCATTTCCTCATCTTGCACGCTTGCTGCTGTCGCAGCCCGCCCTCCGCAATCTCCACCGCCCCGATCTATTTGCATGTAATACAGGTGTACTATATAGATGTTCTTTGACTTAATGCTCTAGCGCCCATGCGAGTGCAATCGCTCGCTCGAGCATAGTTGCGAGCTCGGGCCGCCGAACCAACCGTGCTTTCGCCGTCGCCAAGGACACCTACATGGCGTTACAGCTACGAGCCATGCGTTCTTATTGTGTGTACCCATTCCCGCCGTCGGCTAGCAGCTTCTGACCACGCATCAAACTCGCGCGTGACGCGCATGCCAAAGCCGTGCAGGCGGCAGGGCTTACCTTTCGCCGTCTCGTAGTCGACGGCGCCGAGCTCGCCGAGGATGTCGCCGTGCACCTAGTCGCTCGCGCCAATGATACGATGACCTAAATGAGCAAGACCGTCGTACCCCAGCCTCTTCGGCGAGTTCACGCGCTGCACACGCCTCAGCGGACTCGTCCGCGTCCCAGCCGCCCTTGGGCAGGATCCACTGGTCGGCATGTTTGGAGCTTGAGATGAGGAGGACGCGCGCGCCGTCGGCCGAGAGCGGGACGGCGCAGACGACAAGGCGCGCGCGGCCATCGTAGCGCTGCAGGTCGCGGCCCGACCGCGAGGTCATGGTGCACCGATCGGCGACCACCATGGTTTCAATACCGTAGTTGGTTTCGTAAATGACACCAATCATCGACGCCAACGGCCTTGCTTTTTAGCCAATCCGAGCCATGTAACGGTGGCATCGAGAGTTATCACAATCCACGGAAACATTATAATGGGAGACGTTGGCCAATCAGCGATGCGCACCGTCCGGTAGCCAATGGCGTGCGACGATCCTAACCGTCGGGTTGAAGCCCGCTTGAAGTGGCCACACGTCGAGACGCGCGGGCGCGTAGACGAGGTGCGCTTGCACCAAAGATAGAGTGACCGTTGCGTGGGCGTGGGCCCGAGACGGTATTCGGCCATGCCGCTTTTCTACAGCAGTATGATGCATCAACGCGGTGTGGCATGTTGAAGTTGCGGCAGCGCCGGCTTCCCGCGTGCACAGCATCCGGATAATGGACAGTGGTCCTAGCAACTCTTTCTTCGTCGACCCACGCGCGCTGTGAGCACGAATCGTTGGTCTTACACATTATGTATTCATGTGTCTGATGGAAAACCGGTGTTTCTCTAGTCGTAGTTGTACAAAGGGCGTACAAAACCTTGCCAGGGGTCGACTTTTGTAGAAAGATGACATGTTGTCCACTAGAAGATAGAAAATAACAATCTGCATGGAGTCTCTTCTGCTAGGGTTTGCGGAAGAGAAGACCGAGAATGCGAGGCACCGTGCGACGATCGTCGTTGTCAAAGTACTCGCCAAGTCGCGCCAACACCCAGCCGCGCGCCTGCGCCGCCGCCACAAAGTCACTCGTATGGTGCGTAAAGGCCGTCACGGTTTGCTTGGTGCCATCATCGGTCTCAAAGCACGCCTTGGTGCCCGCGTACTGCTTGAACGGATGGAGCTCACCAACGTATACGAGCCCGCCGGGCTGGAGCACTTGATCGACCTTTTCAAAGATCGGGTCCAGATGCTCGATGTGTTCGAGGACGAGGCTGAACGTCACAACGTCGACGGAGCTTGGCGAGGCAAACGCGTCCCACGACGGCGCGAGGAGGTCGCCTTGCAGAAACTGAACGTGGGAAGCAGGCACCTTGGCGCGGGCCACAGCGAGCATCGACGCGGTGAGATCGACGCTCGTGAGGCGGCGCGTTGTGGGTGCGAGCCAGGTCGAGTTTTTGCCCGTGCCGCAGCCGAGCTCGAGCACGTGCTCAAAGGTGGTTTGCTGTTCGAGGAGGAAGCGCTGGCCGACGAGCGTCTCTAAATCGCGCGTCCGGTTGGTGTTGGTGTCGTAGATGGCGGCCCACTGTGAGTACGCTGCTTCGACGTTCATGCTGATGGTGATCGAGTCAATTGCAAAATGCGCTGTAGAGAGATAGTCGCACTACTCGTGGTGTGACAGGCGAAAACAATGGTCCACCTTCACTCACACACTCGTCTCTCCCAGCATAAGCACAGCATCGGCTGCATGTCTGGAGCATCATGAACGGAGAACCACACGCTGTGTGCTGCCGTCTGTTGCATCGCGCCAGGTGGCTGGTGTCTTCAAGTTGCCCTGATCGTTCTCGTTTTCTTCTGGGCCAACAAGACGGCTTGTGGGTCTGATGCCTGGAGCTCCGTAGCGAGTAGCTGATTCCATGGTGTGTGATGCTAGAGCAGGACGACGCATCATGGCTCCAGAGTACTACCGCGGGATGACGACCATGCGGATAGTTTGCAGTACTAGTAGCAGAGAAGGGCGGATGATGAAAAGTTTTGAAAAAGTTTTAAAAACGTTTCGTAACACGCGCTCGATCCCTTGGCCGTGGCTGATGCGCCACTTGAAATGGTGTGCGGTACCTATGGTAAGGTCGGACAAATCGACGACCATCGGTTTATTGCCGAGACCACACCATCCCATATAAAAAACAAGATCCAACTCTCCTTACTTCGACTGACTATGCTAACGACTTTAGCATCGAAAAACAAACTACCCGTGCATACGTCATACGAACCATGACACACCCACTGCTTTTTAAAAGCGATGGACCCCCTCCCAGCGTTCACAGTGTTGATTTAGAAAGCCGTCATTTTCGATTCCAACTCAACACGCTTACCATGTACTCGCACCCCCGACCCCATACGGCGATCTGCCGTTCCTCGCGCTAGCAACGGCCATGGCCGACGCCCTGCCACCGCCGACGGACCTTCAGTTGGCCCCGTGGGCATCGCTTTGGCCCATCTCAACGTCCCGCGTACCCGTCCTCGTCTCGATCGGCCGCGCGTGTAGCATGGGGTATTACGTGCAGTACGACATGACACTCGCCTGTCCCATCACGGGCCATCGATGGACCATCCACAAACGCTACTCGGACATGTTGCAGTTGCGCGAGATGCTAGCGACGACAACATTGTCAAGATGCAGATGGCAGTCGACCACCCTTTGTCCAGTCGGTGGATTCCTGCTTCACATGCAGGAGATGCGGGGTTCGAGCCCCGTAGGTGTTGTCCCTTCCTTCTCTTTCCCTTTTGGCGTTGGCATCAGCACTATCAAGTCTCAGCTTGACAAAGAAAAACGCCAAGTGCTCGCGTACATTCTGCGCTTGCCGTTTCCAAAGAAGCACTTTGATGCCGAGAAGCCGAGTGTGATTGCCGAGCGCATGCAGAATCTCGGAGGTTTAGTCTCGCATGTCTGGAGCCTCTACGCGGCCGCTTGGCTCCACGCTTTGCAGTACCCGGACGAGCCGCCAGTTGTGCCGGCCGGTGTCCTCGCGCGACTGTTCATCTTTCTCTGTATTCCCCAGGAAGCCTTGAATGTCACTGTGACGACGACCATGCTTGCGACGATGGACGACGCGTGTCCGATCTGCTTGGAGTGCTTTGCACCACCCACTGAAATTGTCTTGGAGCTGGCGTGCGGTCATGGCTTTCACGTTCCATGCTTGCGCGACTGGCTGGTCATCACGCCGCGCTGTCCGACGTGCCGCGGAGCGCCCGGATCAACCGTGCTGCATGTTCCGTCGTAGATACATCTCGATGAGGCGCACGATAATGAGTCGGCTAACAAAGATACGACGGCGTCAGGGATTCATTTGTAAAAGTCACTGATTCATTTGTATAAGTCACTGGGCAGCATTGATGTGGGGCTCATCAACACGTGCCGTTAGCGGGTTCGTTGCGTTGTGCAGCCATCTCAGTGCAGCAGAGACGTTGTCTCATGGTGACGGGTACTACATGGTCGCTGGCTTTACACGCGCACGGTGGTATTGTGGAAGCGTGTGACGATGCACAGGCATGAACACCAGCGTATGTTGTCCCTTATGCACGTTGGCGGTGCGGCACCTATTACGAGAGCGAAGCTCCACGCAAGGGGTAGGGTTGTGGGTTCACTGGTTCTTGACGCCGTGTAGTAATATCCTGCTGGCGACGGAATTGAGCCGACGCTTTTCCCAGGATTTTAGCGGCGACAAGAGCCAAGGGTCTGTCTAGAGGAGGCATGTGCAGACCCCACGTTTTACATTGTACCTGATTCTCCTGCGTCCTATCGATCCTGCCAAAACGAGCCAGTTTCCGGGGCCATGCAAGCATGAAGTGACAATGTCTCGAGTCATCGTGCAGATCACATGGTCCTTGTCAATCAATTATCTGGGCGAAAGCTCAAGCGGAGAGACCAAACGAAAAACCTCTCTGCCACGAAAAACTCCAATTAAAAAAAGTATCATGGAGTGGCGGCAATGATCGATCACATGCCCTCCACGACATGCGACGAGGCTGGTTGCTCCACCTCAGATGCGTTTGCACACGCACACAAAGTACACTCTCCCGTTCCTCGTCTTTAAATCTTGACAACGCAATCGCTATTCAATGCATCGCGTCCGCCAAGGCGCTAGTAGCCACGTCGCCAGTCACGCCCTCGCCACTGACGCTGGCATGCTTCAACGACAGCCTCAGCGTTTCAGCTTGCACCCGTCAGGCTCAGGCCACAGTGCATTTGGCTGCGCTGTACAATACGGCATGACGCTCAAGTGTCCAATCACATCCGCGCCTGGACCATCTTCAAGCGCTGCGCGCAGCTGCTCCAGTTCCGATCGCATAATCAACTTTGAGTGTTTAACTTCCTGGCTTGGCTCTCAATTGTCTTGTGGAGGGCACGGCAGTACTAGTATACTGGAGTGGAAGGTCACCACAGCTTTCGCCACATACATGTATGTATTATTTGTGGCACGTGTACTTACATGTACCGAACTCGATGGCTCAATTGCTGGCATACGATGCCTGGTACCAGGCTCGGTGGGAGACGCGCGTCTGGGTTCATCATGCAGTGCATGTCTCCTTGTAGTATTATTTTCTGAGTACGTTCGCACGCACGCCACACCAAGGATTGTGCCCAAACAACAAGCGTGTGGTTTGCGGTGCTTCCAGAGGGCTTCAGTGGCCGTGTCCCAGGCACGTGCAGGCGGTGACAAGTTGAAGGGATTGACCAATGCTATGGTCTTTGACTCTGTCTCTTCGGATATGCCGGCCTCGTAACAGCGGACGGCGCTTTGTGAGTGACGGTCGGTGCGGGTATCCAACCAGCGAATCTGTTTGCGAATCATTTTGCTGTGGCACATCCTTTGGCTCCTTACTATTAGTCGCTGTTGCCTTCATACCACATTGGAGTCGACAACGGTGGGGCCTTCATGGTGTACCTAAAGACTTGCCATCTAAAAGCTCTTTACACACGACTATACTGACTGTACTGACTCGAGTCTGCCGAAGATCGCCGTGCGAGAACGTCTGATAACGACCACCCGTGCACCCGGCGAATCTAAAAACAGAAGGAAAAATCACATGTTTTCTTTCCGCGTCGCCTGTCCCACTTAATGATGGGACAGGAATGGTCACTTTGCCTTTAACCACGCCTTTGACATGACGTCCCGCCACACGACGAGCGATGACATTCACTTTATTGCGTCGGCCAAAGCACTACTGGAAGCGTCGTCGTTGTCTCCACGCCCAGAAGCTCGCCCGTGGGACAACGCTCCAACCGCGCTCGGTCTCTTGCCCGTCAGTCTCACGGCGTCCATTGGCTCGGGTCAAAGTGTCCTTGGCTACTTTGTACAATATGACGTGACGCTCAAGTGCCCGATCACATCCCGCGCCTGGACCATCCACAAGCGCTACTCGCAGCTGCTCCAGTTTCGATCGCAGTTGGCAAAGCTCCACGCTGCGTCTTCGTCTCCTTCACTTGCCCACGTTCTCAAGCTGCCCTTTCCCAAGAAGGCACTTGACTCGGAGAAGCCGAGCGTCATTGCCGAGCGCATGCAGCGCTTCCAGATCTTTGTCGAGCACGTCTGGAGCTTGTACGCGAGCTGCGTGGTGCCGATGGATGGCGCGCCAGAAGACGCCGCCGTTGTCGCGTGTCTGCGCGAGTTTCTGAGTGTACCTGAGGCCGTGCTGGCCATCTCGGTGCGCCACATGGAAGAGACGCCCCAGGACATGGACCCGTGCGTGGTGTGCTTGGGCGAGTTTGACGTTGACGCCTTTTGCGGTCCGTCGACAGTGCTTGCGCTGGCGTGCGGTCATGTGTTCCACCGCGACTGCCTTCAGCAATGGTGCGCGGTGGCAGCAACATGTCCGACGTGTCGGCGTGATGTGGGCCACATGACGAGCTTGAGCATACAACTCGTTTAAGTGTACGAGTCATGCAATAGTGTGGAAAATATGTGTTCTAGTTTCTCTCAAGTCAGATTCTTAAACTCCAATCAAACAGTTAATTATTTTCATTAACGTCAGATCGGAAAGTTGTGTACGGTTTCACATTAGTCAGGGTTTTTATGATCGGACTTTTACGTCCTCGCTAGAATATAACGGTATCGCAAACGAATGCCACGTTGTGCGTCGGGTTGGGAATGACCACGAGTGTACTACAACGACTGCTATTGTAATAGTTTGATGGCAAAATCCATAACAAGTGCACGAATGTAGCGCCTTCCATTAGAAAATAGAAAGCACCTAATTATGTTTCAACGATATCGTGGTAAGTGCGCGGAATGGGAGAGCATATCAGTATCTTCCTACAGTCTCCCCAGCGACTTCTGCGACTGTGTCGTTCGAAAATTTAAAATGCAGCCTCACGATGGCATTTATTGAACCTTCTGGCGTGTACTGGAGAGGAATGAAAAGTAGCTGCTTCAAGCTTCAAGTCGTCAGTGGGCCAATACCAATAGGCTTGCAACAATTCGCATGATCCCGTGATATGCTTTCTACTGAGCCGTTTTTACCCCAATTCGCGCCAACTCTTCCTATCATCACAGACTGACGCCCAGGGCGACTCATTCACATCTTTTTATCCTCTCTCGGTAGCATGCTCCCGACCTCTTCTTGGAAGAAGGATGAAGTGCACTTCATTGCAACTGCCAAAGAACTTGCCGCGTCCTGGCCAAGCACATGGCCACTACTGGCAGCAGCTCCATGGACAGCAGTTTTCGAGCTCGCACCTGTCGTTGTCACGCCATCGATCGGCTCGGGACCACACACGCTGGGGTACTTTGTCCAGTACAACATGACATTGCAGTGCCCGATCACGTCGCGGTCCTGGACCATCCACTCGCGCTACTCACTGCTGCGTCAGTTTCGATTGCATTTAGCAAAGCTCCACGCCGCGGCGCCGTCGCGATCCCTTGCTCACGTGCTTCAGCTGCCCTTTCCCGACAAGACATGGGACCCGGAGAGACCACGCACCATTGCCGAGCGCATGAGGCGATTTCAGAGCTTTGTCGAGCATCTCTGGAGCTTGTACACAAGCTGCGTTGTGCCCGTGGCTGGCGCGTCAAAGGAAGCGAATGACGTCGTTCAATGTCTCCGCGCGTTCTTGTGCGTGCCGGCGGCTGTGCTGGCGATATCGGTGCGATGCGTCGACGCCATGCCCCACACGATGAGCCAATGCGTGGTGTGCTTGGCCGAGTTTGAAGCCGACGACTTGAGCTCTCCGTCAACGGTGCTGGAGCTAGCCTGCGGCCACGTCCTCCATCAAGTTTGCCTTCGGCAGTGGTGTGCGGTAGCAGCAACGTGCCCGACATGCCGGTCTGAAGTGGGGCATGTGACGCTCGTTGAAATGTAATTCATGGCATTTTTGTGCGATTTGAGAATATTAAATACAATACGGTACCGTGATCACTCTGATCTACACGTTCCGTGCACCTTGGCCATGAACAATGGCCGCGGGATTCGGACCCGCATGGAGACGGTCGCCTGTGGGTTGGCAGATCGGCGCTTGCATGGGCCACGTCGGTTCCGACTTCAACCATCCAATGGGTGCGGCGACGCAAACATAGACATTCCTTGAAAGACGATTATAGCCCCTGGAATTCGCTGACGTGCTCAGCCAATACAATCGTGGCACTACCGGCATGCACTAGCGGGACGTTTTAGAGTATCTTGTGAGTGATGGTCGATTTAAAGGTGTATGCGAATCATCGCGCCTGATACATCCTTGGGAGCTGTCGTTGGGTGCTTGCCATGTGTGCGTTCTCGTTGGTTGGCGACACAAGACATCCAAGTGGTTGTGGTGGAGACGGCTGTCAGGCTATTTCTCTGCGTGGTCTCACTTTGTTTTTACCCGCGCACTCTGTACGTTTGACCGCGCACGCATGACGTTGCGTCACGTTGCGACCGATGAGATTCATTTCATCGAATCCGCCAAGACATTGTTTGCATCGCTCGCGCGTACAGCGTCAGTGAGCCCGTTTCCATGGCTGGCAAATCAACGCAGACGCCCATCTCTCTGGACGCGTCCATTGGCTCGGGTCAAAGTGTCCTTGGCTACTTTGTACAATATGACGTGACGCTCAAGTGCCCGATCACATCCCGCGCCTGGACCATCCACAAACGCTACTCGCAGCTGCTCCAGTTTCGATCGCAGTTGGCAAAGCTCCACGCTGCGTCTTCGTCTCCTTCACTTGCCCACGTTCTCAAGCTGCCCTTTCCCAAGAAGGCACTCGACTCGGAGAAGCCGAGCGTCATTGCCGAGCGCATGCAGCGCTTCCAGATCTTTGTCGAGCACGTCTGGAGCTTGTACGCGAGCTGCGTGGTGCCGATGGATGGCGCGCCAGAAGACGCCGCCGTTGTCGCGTGTCTGCGCGAGTTTCTGAGTGTACCTGAGGCCGTGCTGGCGATTTCAATACGCCACATGAAAGAGACGCCCCAGGACATGGACCCGTGCGTGGTGTGCTTGGGCGAGTTTGACGTTGACGCCTTTTGCGGTCCGTCGACAGTGCTTGCGCTGACGTGCGGTCATGTGTTCCACCGCGACTGCCTTCAGCAATGGTGCGCGGTGGCAGCAACATGTCCGACGTGCCGGTCTGAAGTGGGCTTTATGGCATACTTGGAGCTCCACTATTATAGTATTGTGTCGACGATTCTAAACTCTTCTACTAAATTTTCTTTTCATTTTTTGTTAAAAGCTCGACTTTAATATTGGTGAAATGTGAAACCGATGACGTGGATGTCGTGTACGTGGTGGAAGTTTGGCGGATATGGTAATATACGTTGTAACCTTATCCGTGCCTGCTGGATGATTCCTCGAGTACTAAGAGTATGTTTTTTCATTTTACGCTTTTGGAATAAATAAATGTCTATATTTATTGTGTTGCTTCAAACGACAAGGCCAAAGTCGAGCGGCTCCAGCGTCGCCAGCCATGCCCCATCGCTGTCTTCGAGCAGATCGGCGCACAGCGCCCAGTCGGCAGCGTCCACGGTCATGTCTTCATCGCCCTTTTCGAGGTCGTCCAGGGCGCCCGGAAAAAGCTCTTCGAGAATGTCAAGAGACGGCAGCTCCATCACCGAGGGACTTTCAACCTTCATGGTTGGAGACGGCAGAGGCGACGACGCCAGCGAGCCCTCGCGCTTGCGGGCGATCGGCGTCGTCTCGAGCGTCGAGCTGCGCTTGAACTCGTGGTGGCTGAATGTGCACACGTGCGACTGTGTCTTGGTCCACTTGCGGAAACCAAAGTAGTTGAGCTGGCGCTGGAAGCTCGCGAGTTTGTTGTGTTTAAAGTACTTGGGGAGGACCTCGTTTTCGAGGCGCGTGACGCTGTAGAGCTGGATGGCGGCGCCGTCGGCCGACCACGAGATGATGTTGGGGTCTTCGGTGGTGAGAATGGAGTAGAGGTGGCGAAGGAACTTGGGCACGCCGGTGGTGCGGGGCTTCTTGGAGGTCGTCATTATGGTTGTTGTTGTTGTTGTGGTTTGAGTTGCGAGAGGCAATTGCAAGAATGAAGAGGCAAACGCGTGGTCATGCTCGTGTGGTAGGAAGGTTCGAGCACGGTTCGAAAGGGACCAAGTGGTGCTAGGCAATCGCTCGGAAGTCTCCAACGCGGCCGATCCAGGTGGCAGTGATACACGATGGCCTTGTGCTCACAACGTCCGAGTCTGTCACGCGGGACCTAGCATGTTACCAAGAGTGACCTGTCGACCAGTCTGTAGCCTGTCACGTTATCCTATGCCCTAGGAAGCAGCGCCATCGAGCCCTCTCGATAAGATCTTCAAACGAAAATCATGGAAGGGTCCATCGACACTTGATGTGTATGCGAAGCACGAATAGAGTCTGGCGACTGTACTTGATACCTCGAAAGAAATACCCAGATAGCCATAACAGCTTGCGTCGCTCTACAGGTCTTGTATTCCATAGCCCAAAAACGAAATGCCCTGGTATACCATATCCATGTAATCCATGATCTCTCGTTCGCATGCAGTGCTGCGGTGACCAGCGCACATCGATGGTGTTGCATGGCCGCGGTCATCGCTTTAAGGACAAGCGCGCAAAAACATGTGGCTCCGGACCAGATTGCCAGATGTGCGCGCACAAACGAGCCAGATTGACAGGGGTGTGGTCCGCGTGCACTGTCTGAAAGACGAGACGACGACTGTGGCTCGCTCTACCGTGGGTGGTCAAGCTCTTGTCTGGATAGTCAAGGACGTGCCACCTTGCTGAGCTCTCCCCTACCGGGACATCACCGCCTCCTTCTTTCGCCGGCGTTCAGAGCTCACGTAGCCATGCTCTCAGCAGTACACAGGGTCGTTCGCCCCTTCTTGAAATGCTTGCAATGAGCAAAGGATCACGGTCGAGGTGGCCGGCCAGAGATTTGAAGAAATGCAGCACGTCCATCGGTCGACACGTGACAAATGAATTCGCCTTTGAACAGTCGATAGAAACGGAGGCAGTAACGCTACACGGTGCTTCTCCGAGCCGTACGACGACGGCCCATCGAGTGGCGAGGAAGCCGACGAACGGTATCTATGTATCGATAAGCACTCTGTCGACTGCACAATAGGGAGCGCACGTCCTTTGATATTGTTGTACTTGTCTACTTGGCTTGGCGCTCAGCCCACCATGCTACAAGGGCAGCGCTGATCTCGCCGATTGGTGCACAGCCACCAGTACATGTACCAAGCATTCTTGACGGCAATGGCAATCGGATTGCGTCATCATGTACCTGAGGGATCCGATTGGCCAGCCTTCTGACGTCGTTGCATAGCCATCATCCAAGCACGGCACGCGAGCGCGACGCTGGACCGCGACGGCCTCGGAGAACGCCGCCCATCAAAGCGCGCAGCTACCCTCGTCCTCCACCTGCTTTCAAACTTTGCCGTCTCGTTGTAATTAGGTAGTACGTGGCAGGCTCGTCGGCGGTTTGCAATTGCAGTACACTGTATCATCCGATAATTGCACTGTACGATGAGGCCGGCCTGTCTACGTGCTGGTTCGACACCCAGTCACTTGGCACTTTCCAAGATGCTCCGTGCGCGCCTCAAGTCGACGCTGGCCGCGG